CCTTCCCTTTTTTTTTAAATCTCTGATTTCCAAGCCAACAAAAGGCTGTGATTTTCCACTTTCTAAAATAGGGGCAAAGAGAGAGAGAGAGAGAAAGACAGGGTGTGCCGGCCTAATTAAATTTCGCTATCTGCTGTGATGGTTGCTGTGTGGTGCCCGGGATGTTTCCCCACTGCCAGGCCCCTGGCTCCTCCCAGGACGGTGGGCGGGGCGCTGGAGGGGGGGAAAGGGGGTCAACCCCTCACCTCTACCGGAGACTCCTTCCAGACCCATCTGGAGCTCTCCAAACCCATCAGCGCCCCCAGAGCAGGGCCGGGCCCCTAGAAGGCACGGCTTCCCGTGCAGGTGGGGTTGCTCTGGTGGCCTTACACCGAGCACAGATGGGAGCCATTTCCCACTTAGCGGGTTGGCAGGTCACCTGCACTTGAGGGCGCGGGCGGGGAGACGGAGTTCTCTGGCATAGAGATCTGGATGGAAAAAGTCAGCCACAGAGGTGGGTGGCCACTTGAGCTGCAGAGAGAGATCAGAGCAGCCTAGGTGGCCAGGCCTAGAAGGCGGTCAGGGGACGGAGAGAGTCGCGCCCACTGAGAAACGATCGCAGCCCCCCCGCTCCTCCCTTCCCCAAGCAGAGGAGACACCTGCTTCCCCCCAGATTTGCACCCGAGGCCCAGAGAGGGTGAGGTGTGCATCGGGAAGGAGTTTTCCATGCCCCAGCACCCACGGGGGAGGTGGGGAAGGGGGGACAGTGTGGGCGCAGGGGTCCCTGCAGCTGGTGGCAGGAAAGGTGGCGGAAGAGCTACACAAAATGGCACCCAGTGCACCCCGCAGTTCCCCGGGAGGCGGATCTGCCGCTTTCCTTGCGAGAGGAATGTGGGGTTTCCCCCTCGGGCCGTTGATCCTTCTCACAGCTGCTGGCTACAATCCCCAGCCCAGAGCAATCGGCCAGGCCAGATGCTGGCTTGGGGTGCGTGCAGGCCAGTCCCCTCCTTGGAAGAGACACGGGAAGGCCAGACGGGGAGGGAGACCGTGATGTGAAACAGAACCATCTCCTGCGATGCCACCCGGCAGCCTCCGACCGGCAGCCTCCACGCCGCACCCTCTGCCCCTCCGCCGTCTTTCCCGAATGCCATGATCTCCCGAGTCAGCCTCCTAGCTTAGGTTCTTCAGGACCCTGAAGACCAAAGAAGCAATGGCGCAAAAAGACCTTGGCATCCCCCGGGTGGCCATATCTGGACCAGAAGCCCGGTCTCCGAACCCTCCACTGCCCAGTGCGGTCACTCAGCTTTCCAGCTCGAGGGGGACCCCTTAGACGCCTCAGGTCTACTTCATTCTAGAAAGTTCTCTCAGAGGACCTTTCCATCACTGAAGATGGGGGAATTCCCATGGTGCCAATCAAAGATGAGAGGCAACTCGTCCACTCCCAAAGATCAGACAGGAAGAGGAACCAGGGCTGATCTATCCAGAGACCTCAAGTGGAGGTCATAAGGATCAACTCCAAGCCGGGCGCCGGTGCCTCACGCCTGTCATCCCAGCTCCTCAGGAGGCTGAGATCTGAGGATCAAGGTTCAAAGCCAGCCCGGGCCGGGAAGTCCGTGAGACTCTTTTGTCTCCAACAAAGCAGCAAAATGGTGCTGTGGCTCAAGTGGTAGAGCACCAGGCTTGAATGAAAGAAGCTCAGGGATAGTGCCCAGGCCCTGAGTTCAAGTCCCAGGACTGGCACAAGAGAAAAAATAAAGAAAAGAGAATCAACTCCATCATCTTCCGCCCCTCACCACCTGCATTTCCCACCCAGTCCTGCTGGAGTTAATGTCCACGAGGCTCACACACCACAGGGAGGTAGACAGTCACCTTTGCTGTAATAGGAGACCCCCAGGAGCAGACACAGACATGGCAGGATCTGCATCACGATTAGCGTGAGACGCGCCCACCTGTGAGACTCACCTGATGAGGTCAATAGGTTGAAACTTGTAGAACACTCCATAGCGTGCCCATTCCTGGTACAGCAGCTAGGGGGGAGAAGAAGGGAGAGAGGGGGTGGATTAGGGGAAAAGAACCATGCCTCTCCTTTCGTCCATCCTGGCAGGTCAAAATTCTAGCCCTCGACGGGCGCCGGTGGCTCCCGCCTGTCATCCCAGCAACTCAGGAGGCTGAGATCTGAGGATCGAGGTTCAAAGCCAGGCCCGGGCAGGAAAGTCCGTGAGACTTGCATGCCTCAGGAAAGCAAGTCCCGGAGCTCTGACCTTTCAGATGTGGGGAGGGAAAGGTAAGAGGTCACGCTGGGGGGCACGTTCCTCTGAGACTCTTCAGACACCCACCGTGGGGAATGTTGAGTGGAAACATGAGCTGGGTATAAAAATCTACAGCTCACCCCCACCCCCACCCTGAAGGGGGAGGGGGGCATCGGAGGCTGGAGATGGAAAGGTGGGTGTTAATAGAGATGAGATGATTAGCAAGGTCGTGACGCCGGGAGGGAGTTACGCAGGGACGCGAGCTGGGATCTGGGGGCCTGAGCACTGAAATGGTTGGGAGGATCAGCAAAGGAAACCGAGAGACACGTGGCCGGTGGGGTTGGAGGAAGGTCACAGGTTCTGCACGCGGGATTCTAGAACCCGAGAGAAGGAAACCGACGCCCCGTGCCCAAGGCTGCTGGTTGGGTACTCAATGGAGAACAGAAAACCAAGATGACCTTCCAGAAGGAGATTAAGGCCAACACGTGGTGCGGGATTCGAGCCAGAGGCTAAAGGGAGGAGGCGCTACACCAAACATACACCAAACACAGCCCAGGGGTTTTAGTTTCCAACCACAGATGGAACAGCCGGCAAGGTTCGCCAGCCATCTACCGGTTTGTATCTAACTAAAGCGTCTTTATCATGGCCACACACGTAGATAACCCACACTTGGTCCAATAGGAAGTCTAGAGAGCTGACTTGCCAGCCGGGCTGCCGTTTGAACCCAAAGCTTCAAGGCTTGCAAGTCAGGTGCTCTACAATTTGAGCCAGGCCCCTTGCCCTTTTTTTGTCAGTTGTGGGGCTTGAACTCTGGGCCTGGGCGCTGTCCCTCAGCTCTTCAGCTCCAGGCGGGCGCTCTACCCCTTGAGCCACAGCGCCACTTCCGGTTTTCTGGTGGTTCCTAGGAGATCAGAGTCTCATGGACTTTCCTGCCCGGGCTGGTTTTGAACCCATGATCCTCAGATCTCAGCCTCCTGAGTCGCTGGGATGACAGGCGGGAGCTACTGACTCCCAGCCCCCTGTCCTTATTTACTCTTGTTTTTGAGATTAAGGTCTTACTTTTTCTTTTTTTTTTTTTTTTTGGTCTGAGCTAGCCCGGACCATGATCTTCCTGTTTTATTTAGGGGGGTATGACACCCTCCCCAGCTACTGTTTGAAATAGGAGGAGCTCCTAAACATGTTAACTGAGCGAGCCTCAAACCCTGGTCCTCCTAACCTCATTGGACTCCTGAGGACCGAGGATTCTAGGCGTGAGGTGTCCTGTGATGCTCTTTCACGCACCTGACATGATTCCCCGGATCGCTCACAGGATTCACAAGGAAATCTTCCAAGGAGAATCTCCTCCGATTGGGCCTTTGAGCTAGACAGCCAGACACCAGCCCTGCAGAAAGCCATCATTCCTCACAGAAATGAGGCTGGGCATGGTAGCTCATGCCTATAATCCTAACGACACAAGAGGCTGAGACCTGAGGATCGAGGTTCAAGGCCAGCCCGTGAGCAGGAAAGTCCGTGAGACTCTGATCTCCAAAGAACCACCAAAATGCCAGAGGTGGAGCTGTGGCTCAAGGGGTAGAGCACCAGCCTTGAGTGAAAAAGCTCAGGTATGGTGTCCAGGCCCTGAGTTCAAGCCCCGGGGCCAGCACACACACACACACACACACACACACACACAATCAGAGCCGCGTGCCGGTGGCTCACACCTGTCATCCTAGCTACTCAGGAGGCTGAGATCTGAGGATCATGGTTCAAAGCCAGCCCAGGCAGGAAAGTCTGTGACACTCTTACCGCCAATAAACTACTCAAAAAAATGAGTGCCGTGGTTCAAGTGGTAGAGCGCCAGCCTTGAGCACAAAACAGCTCAGGGACAGCACCCAGGCCCTGAGTTCAAGCCCCAAGACTGGCACCAAAAAAAAAATAAGAGAAACAGAAGCGAGGACTGTTGGCTGACCTTCTACAAGATGGCTACACGACACAAGACAAAACAGAAAGCTTGCGGCGCTCAGGAGTTGGCCGTTTGCAAAAAGAAGCAATTCGGCCCCACAGGACCGTGCAAGGGGCCTGGGGTCAGAGAATTCCTCCAGGTGACCTCTGCTCCCACACACACGCCCGTGTCTCCTCTCTCCTTCCTTCTTTGGTAACATCTTCCCTGAGTTCTGCCTCTCCCCGCCCTCCCCCAGGGCCTACCCCAGGCTCCCTCCCTTCCCCCCCCCCACTTGATTATCCCAGTGATATCATTTACAGGCCGTCTTGCGTCAGGAGATTCGAGCGAGGCTCCGTCGAGGCCCCCCGGCACTGGCTGTGACCTTGGCTGTGACCTTCAGGGAAAATTCCTACACCCATCACAGATTCCATGGAAACCAAGGCTGGAGAGGACATTGGGGCCACTGCCTGGGTGCTTGGGCCCTTCCTACGACATCTCCGGGGTGGTACCCACTACGCACAGGGGTCTACCCAACGGACAGACCAGGAAGACTGCATGCGCCCGACACAGCAGCAGGAGGGAGACACAGACGAGGGAAATAGTAGACAGCCCTGAAAAGGGGGGGAATGGAGCTTCCGAGCGTCCAATCCCCAGTGGCAAAGGATGAGACGGGTCGTGATCACCTCCAGGTCCTGGGTGCTGAGAAGAGGCTGGCGGTCAGGGCCAGGGGAGGCCGGCGAGGCACGGGGGACAACGCTTTCACCTGTCTGCAGTCTAGAAGCTTCTATCCCACCCTTAGCAAGTCCATTCTCTCCCTGAAGGTTACACCACGTCGCGTCTCACCGGGGGCGCTGGTTGTGATTCAAGGCCTGTCTGTCTGTCCGACCACCAGTGTTACTGGCAGGAAGCGACAACCCACAAGGCAAATGGCCCCCTTTGACGCACCACAGCCCCGTCGTACGAGAGGGTGGCTCCAGTGGTGGAAAGCTGGCCTCGCAAGCACTGGGCTCAGCCCCCAATACAGCAACGAGAAAGCAAGCCGGGCGCCAGTGGCTCCCGCCTGTCATCCCAGCCTCTCGGGAGGGTGAGATCTGAGGATCGAGGTTCAAAGCCAGCCTGGGCAGGAAAGTCCGTGAGACTCTGATCTCCAATGAACCACTCAGACAAAGTCAGAAGTGATGTTGTGGCTCAAAGTGGTAGAGCGCCAGCCTTGAGTAAAAAGAAGCTTGGGAACAACGCCCAGGCCCTGAGTTCAAGCCCCGGGATCCACAAAAAAGAAAGGAAGGAAGGAAGAATGGAAAGAAGGAAAGGAGGAAGGGATGGAGGGAAATGGAGGGGAGGGAAGGGAAGGGAAGGGAAGGAGGAAGGAAAGGGAGGGGAGGGAAGGAAGGAAAGGAGGAAGGAAAGGGAGAGGAGGGAAGGAAGGGAGGAAGGAAGGAGAGGAAAGGAATAAAGGAGGGAGGGAAAAAAGGAAAGAAGGAGAGAAAGGAAGGAAGGAAGAAGGAAGGAAGGAGGAAGGAGGGAGGGAGGGAGGGAGGGAAGGGAAGGAGAGAAAAGAAGGACAGAGGGAAGGAGGGAAGGAAGGAAAGAAGGAAGGAAGGAAGGAAAGAAGAATGGAAGGAAGGAAGAAGGAAGGAAGAAAGAAAGGAAGGAGGGAAGGAAGGAAGAAAGGAAGGAAGGAAGGAAGGAAGGAAGGAAGGAGGGAAGGAAGGAAGGAGGGAGGGAAGGAAGGAGGGAGGGAAGGAAGGAGGGAAGGAAGGAAGGGAAAAAGGAAGCGAGGGAGAAAGAAAGAGAGACCAAAGCAAAGCGTTTTCATTTGCTTCTCTGTTGTGTGGATAGAGTGTGGGACGCTGATCGATGGCCAGTCCACCTGCGTGTTTCCATCCATACGTGGAAAGTCTTGACTTCGCACTTATAAATGACAGCCGCACACATCTATATGTATAGACACACTCCTGTGTCTGTCTTTTAGCTGGAGTATAACATTATTTATCTCCACTGGTTTATCCAACAGATGTGTATTCGTGAGCTACCGTGTGACCTGATGAGTTCTTTTATTATATTATTATTATTATATTACTGTTTACTCTATTGTTTTGTTGTTATTTTAGCAATAAAGCCTTAGGATTTTAGAATTATCTTCTTCAGTTTGCACATACTCGTGCATCGCGTGTACATTATAGACTATGATTTAATTCTTGGAAACATTTTTGCAGGTGTCAAATATGGTACAACCTGGTTTCATTTTTGTCTTACTTTCCTTGGGAATAAAGTTGATCCTGTTTTTTGGTGGTGGTGGTGGTGGTGGTGGTCGTGGGGTTTGAACTCAGGGCCTGAGCGCTGTCCCTAAGCTTTTTCACTCAATTCTAGCGCTCTACGAATTGAGCCACAGCGCCACGTCCAGTGGTTTTCTGGTGGTTTAATGGAGATCAGAGGCTCACGGACTTTCCTGCCCTGGGCTGGTTTTGAACCTCGATCCTCAGATCTCAGCCTCCTGAGTAGCTGGGATGACAGGCGTGAGCGCCGGCGCCCGGCTTCAAAGATCTTCTTGTGGCCGTCCATAATGGCCTCCGTATCAGCCCAGAAGATGGAGACGCACACATTTCCCCTGGGCAGCCTGGTTGCTTCTGGGGGTTTCCGGGCTCTGGAATTGGCCTGGGCAGGCGGGGGGGGGGGCACCCTACAAAGGGTCACTAGGTGGGGGGCAGGGCATAGTCACTTAAAGGGGAGGGACGTGTCACCAGAAGTGTGGAGGACAGAAAAAGGGCCGGGTGAGAGAGGAGCGGTGGGGGGGGGCAGAAATGCGTTTTCCTTTTCCTTTCAATCGGACGCGGGATGTCTCAGGAAATTAAACGCCGAAACTATTAGCATCAGATAGAGAACAGATGAGCTGGGGACGCGGGGAAGAGGAGGGCGGTCCCCCCACCCCCTCCCTCCCCTCCCTCCCCACCCCCCTCCCCCCGCCCCTGCGGCAGGGCCCGGCCCGGGGGGCATGTGCAAGCAATCACCGCAGTATTTCTGGAAAAGACCTTTTATGTTTTTAATACTTAACACTTCATAACAGGGACTAATAGGCGGGATAAGAAAGGAAGCTGCTCAAAGGCAACCTGGGCGTGAATGGTTTTCCAGACAACGGGGGGGGGGGGCTCCCCACTCCAGCGTCCTCCCCAGCCTCCTCTGCTCCGCAGAGCTGCGGGGTGGGGGGAGGGCTGGATTA